ACTCAGAACATGAAAGACAATGGTGTAATGGAACAATATTACATTAATTGGAACTAATTTAAGCGACCTTTCAGCAATTTGCAAAAAAGAAAAAAAAAAAGAAAGAAAAAAAGATAACAGTAGAACACTTGCATATGTTTTTGTTAGAGCTGATACCTTAATTTTTTTATTCATGGTTCTCCACAACTAAAGCAAATTGAACATATTTGTATTCCTTCCTTTCGTTCTGTTCTTCATTTCTACTTTGGTGTTATTTTTCACTGTTCATTTCTATTTTTGTGCATAAACAAACAACCGCAATAAAAATGCAAGTATATAGAGAAGAGAGTCACACATGCAAATGAAAAATAAGGAAAGACAATAGATAGCTTCATGAAGAAATAAAATTATGCTGAAGCAAATTAGGTAGTTTCTTTGTTGAAGCAAGTAATTACAATGCAAACAGCAGAAAAAACAGTTTTCTTTTTTAAACACAGTCCCATACAAGAGGAACCATATTTCTCAGCCAAGAATCAGTTTTCAGGGCACCAAGCATGGGACTCACACTGATGCCAGCTTGAAAGCCAGGCCCCAGATGTTCAAGGCTGGACCTCAGTCGCAGCTTTGGCATGCACTGTCCTGTCTATGGTGGGAGTTTCACCAAACACAAGATTTCCATTAGAGACATTTTTAAAGGACCTCTGATAAGATCCAGCTGAAAAGCTGTGATCTTTAGAATTCCTTGACATTTCACCTTGAACTGTTTTTCCTTGTTTAAATCATTTCTTTAGGAGGGCCTTTCTAAACAAAACTTGCTTACTTTCTCCAGGTCTGGTGCATGAATCATCCCAGTCAGGCACACAATAACCAGAGACAGGCAACAAATCTTAGTCATTTTGAAAGGAAAGAGGGTAAGCACAGACCACGGATTTGTAGTCTGCAGGATGCAGGCAGTCAATCAAGCTCAAACATTAGCAAAATAAAAATAAGTAGCTAAAAATCTGGTGCTACAGGAGAATAGGCCTGAGTTTCTAAGTAATCCCTGAAGCACAGAAGAGATATCAGAAGTTGTTACTTATGATTATGAACCAAAAATGAATGAGATCTGTTTCAAGTCTGTTAAAAGTAGACTAAGCTACTAGCTTTCAACAAGTACATTATACTACTAAGTTTTCTCAAGAAGAAAATTCCTCACTTTAGCAAAACATCAAACTTATCATATGTAACAGAGACATGTGAACTGAATATACTGCTGAAGTAGACATCCAGCTATCCGTGAACACAGAAAAAAGAAACAGGACCTGAGAAATACAGCCTTCTTGTAGTACACTTATTCTGCATAAGAAAAAGAGAAGACGACTGTGGGCAAAAGAGAAAAAGAGAAGGGAAAGGAGGAGAGGCAAGGATAAAAGAAACAATTTTAGATTTCTCTGCTGAAAACAAATGTTTTCTGGATGAAAAAACAAACAAAAAAGCCAACAAAACACTACATAGGAAAATTTTTGTTCACCTTTTAAGACAAGTGTAAATCTCAAAAACAAGGTTTAATCTGGCATGAATATTCCATGTGATCCACTTTTCATTCTTTGCCCCACAATCCTCTCATCTAATTTACACTGTAATTTAAATGCTAAAAATAATTAGCTTACTTTCTAAGAACCTTATTGCTAACAAGATATATGGTAAGCATATTTGGCTAGCTTTGATTGCAGAGTATCTTTTACTTTTTTTTTTTTTTTTTTTTTTGCCTGAAATTAACCTATGTAAGTAATGAGTTCTTCAGGTGAGAGACTTGCTCCCTCTCAATTCTTTAAAGAAGTGTTTAAGCTCATGGCACTGAGCCACAGAACAGTTTCTCTATAATATAATTTACATTCTTGACATGCAGTTGGTCATCCCTGGTTTTCATCAACAGCACACAAAGTAGATAGACGCAAAACAGGAAAAGATCAAATATGAAAAGCTCTGAATAAATGCATCAAAGGCTTTCTATGCATTGAAGCTGTAGTAATCAAAGCATCATATATTTCACTTAAAATTGTTGCACTTTGTTTTGTAGTAAGGTTACCTGTTGCAGCACTCCCTTTAGGATTAGTGCTTCCAAACTAAATCTGCCCAATTTAACAGCAAAAAATTTTTCTTTCCACAGTACATATTATTGCTAAGCTACTACAGTAGATTTTTTAGAGTGTTTAAGCTATTTGTTTTGTGAGGAAGCAGATAATCAGTACATACTGACACTTAAAGCAGACTTAAGTTATGCTTAGTCTTGTAAACAATTTTGAACAGCTTCAAAAAGGAGTGAAAAATCAAAAATCAAAGTGAAAAACTTTGGCAAGTTCTGAAACAATAACATGTCCTCCTATAGGGGGAAGATAGGGGGAAGAAAAAAAAAGAAGAGAAAGAGAAAGAGAAAGAGCAAG